TCGATCTGATTTCGGGTGCGGCGCCGATTTCCAAGGCACCTTATCGCCTTGCGCCGCCGGAGATGCAGGAGTTATCCTCTCAGCTCCAGGAGCTGCTATGGAAGGGGTTCATTACACCGAGTAGCTTACCATGGGGAGCTCCGATCCTTTTTGTGAAGAAGAAGAAGTATGGTTCACACCGGATATGCATTGATTACCGGGAGCTGAACAAGTTGACGGTAAAAAACCGTTACCCACTTCCGAGGATCGATGATCTGTTCGATCAGTTATAGGGGGCATCTTGGTTATCCAAGATTGATCTGAGATCCGGATATCATCAGATGAGAGTCTACGAGGAGGATATTCCGAAGACGGCCTTTCGGACTCGTTATGGGCACTATGAGTTTGTGGTGATGCCTTTCGGGCTCAGCAACGCACCGGTAGCGTTCATGGATCTCATGAACCGGGTGTGCAGGCCCATGTTGGATCGCTCGGTGATCGTGTTCATTGACGATATTCTGGTGTACTCGAGGTCCAGGGAACAACAAGAGGAGCATCTTAGAGAGGTGTTGGGAGTTTTGAGATCGGAGTGGCTTTATGCCAAATTCTCCAAGTGTGATTTCTGGTTATGAGAGGTTCAGTTTCTAGGACATCTCGTTAATCAGAATGGGATATTGGTTGACCCGGCCAAGATTGAGGCGGTTATGCGATGGGAGGTGCCGAGATCCCCATCAGAGATCAGGAGCTTTCTGGGATTGGCCGGTTATTATCGGAGGTTTATCAGAGATTTCTCCAAGATCGCCGTTCCCCTCACCAGGCTGACCCAGAAGGGCATTACTTTTACTTGGGGCCCTGAGCAGCAGGCCTCATTTGAGACTCTTCGCCAGAGATTGTGCGAAGCCTCGGTGTTAGCCCTTCCGGGGGGAATGGAGGATTATGTAGTCTATTGTGATGCATCTATTACAGGCATGGGTGCGGTATTGATGCAGAGAGAGCATGTGATAGCGTACGCATCGAGGCAATTAAAGCCTCATGAGACGAGATATCCCACCCATGATCTGGAGTTGGGGGCGGTGGTGTTTGCCCTCAAGATCTGGCGTCATTATTTGTACGGAGTCTGGTGTACCATATACACGGACCATAAGAGTCTGAAGTATCTCATGGATCAGCCCAACCTCAGTATGAGACAGAGGAGGTGGTTGGATGTGGTGAAAGATTACGACTGTGAGATCTTATACCACCCGGGAAAGGCTAATGTGGTAACTGACGCCCTGAGCCGTAGAGCAGAGAGTGCTCCGATCCGAGATGTATGTATGAGGATGATGGTGATGACTCCAGTCTTGGATACCATTCGGGAGGCCCAGGAGGAGGCCGTGAGACCGGAGAACCGCAAGAGGGAGTGGGTGGTTGGGCAGGTGTCCGAGTTTGTGACAAATAGTCGAGGGCTTATGACTTTCCGAGGGCGGATTTGGGTACCCTACACAAGAGGAGCTCGACATATACTGATGGCGGAGGCACATAGATCGAGATTCTCGATCCATCCCGGGGCCACTAAAATGTATTTGGATCTAAAGAGAGATTATTGGTGGCCCTGTATGAAGAGGGATGTTGCTTGGGTAGTTGAGAGGTGCTTCACCTGCCGTCGGGTCAAGGCAAAGCACCAGCACCCACATGGTCCACTGCAGCCACTGCAGCCACTGGAGATTCCTCAGTGGAAGTGGGAACAGATCTCTATGGAATTCATCACCAAGTTACCGCGGACTGTGCGTGGAGTCGACGTGATTTGGGTGATAGTGGACCGGTTGACGAAGAGAGCTCACTTCCTTGCTATTAGTGAGAGCTCTTCTGCAGAGAGATTGACCGAGATTTATGTGAGAGAGGTGGTATCTCGGCATGGGGTGCCAACTTCGATAGTGTCAGATCGAGACGTGCGTTTCACTTCCAGATTCTGGAAGAAGTTTCACGAGGAGTTGGGCACGCGTCTGTATTTTAGCACTGCGTATCACCCGCAGACGGACGGGCAAAGCGAGCGGACAATTCAGACGCTCGAAGACATGCTGCGTGCCTGTGTCATGGACTTCGGAGGAAGTTGGGACACATATTTACCTCTGGCTGAGTTTTCCTACAACAACAGCCACCATTCGAGTATTGGTATGCCTCCCTTTGAGCTTTTATACGGGAGGAGGTGTCGGACTCCTATTTGTTGGGGAGAGGTGGGACAGAGAGTAATGGGTGGCACTGAGATAGTGCTAAAGACGACCGAGCAGGTTCAGCAGGTTAGACAGAGGTTGCTGACGGCCCAGAGTCGCCAGAAGAGTTATGCGGATAGGCGACGATCTGAGCTCGAGTTTCAGGTCGGGGATTTCATACTCCTGAAGGTATCCCCTTGGAAAGGAGTGATCCGATTCAGGAAGCGGGGAAAATTAGGACCCCGGTACATCGGTCCTTTCAGGATGACCGCCACGGTAGGCAGAGTAGCTTACCGGTTAGAGTTACCCGCAGAGTTGAGTCAGATTCATAACACCTTCCACGTATCTTAGTTGAGGAAGTGTGTAGCTGACGAGACGGCAGTGGTGCCATTAGAGGACATTCAGGTTGATGCGAGCCTGAATTATATAGAGAGACTGATTGCAATTTTGGATCGGAAGGTAAAGGTGTTGAGAAACAAGGAGGTGCCTCTGGTCCGGGTACAGTGGCAGCATCGGAAGGGATCCGAGTCGACTTGGGAGCAGGAGTCAGAGATCCGGGAGCAGCATCCAGAGTTGTTTTCGGAGCATGACTTTGAGGGAAAAGTCTGATTCAAGTGGGGGAGAATTGTAACATCCCAAGTCCAGGTATACATTATAACCCTTGTTCTTTTGGTAGTTGTCAAGTTTAGCCCTTATAGAGAAAAAGGTTGTAAATGAGTACGTGGGGCGTACGCGTGTGTACGCTCAGCGTACTCATGTGCATGTTATTAACGCGTAAGCCACCTAGTACGTTGGGTGTAACAGAGAGTACGTTGGGCGTACTAGGCCCAGAATGCAACCCTAATTTGAGGTGAGTCCCCTATATAAGGGATATGATGGCCTCAATTCTGGCCACCATTCCCAGAGAGAAAACCCTAAGAGTGCCCTAACCCTCGTTCTAGAGCTTGTGTGTGTGTGTGTGTTTGAGCCTTGAGAGTGTTTGTGTGGTTTTGAAGAGAAGAGAAGGTATTGAAGAAGAAAGAGTTGGAGTCCAAGCTTCTAGATCCGAGCAAATCTGAGTTGGAAGCTTCTTATTGAGGCGGAGGCTAGACTGGTGGTTAGAGTTCAAGGTTCCCAAGTACGAGATTTCACTATCTGTCTTACGAGGTGAGTCTTCTCACTATACTTACCTTGAGTGGTAACCCGTATGTGTGACCGGAGGGTCTTATGTGCATATTTTGTGTATTGAGATAACCTGCATAACTGTGAAATGAGATATTTTGTTTATTTTTTATTGTGATATATATATATATATATATATATATATATATATATATATATATATATATATATATATATATATATATATATGCTGTGCTTACTGAGATACTGAGTTGAGAGACCGGAGGGTCCATCTGAGTTGGGACCGGAGGGTCCACCCGAGTTGTGGGACCAGAGGGTCCTACTGAGACACATTGACCGGAGGGTCTTATTGAGTTATAGCCTTGAGTGGCTAACGATTTGTGTGTGGTATTTTGGGGAACTCACTAAGCTTTATGCTTACCGTGTTATGTGTTATGTGTTTCAGGTAGTTCCGAGGATTGCGGGAAGGCACCGGCATGATTGTACACACTGGCGGGAGATTGTTTTTATGATTCTGGGATTGTGATTTACACTATTGACAATTGTGACATGTGATTTTGATAATTATGAAATGAGTTTTATTGTGGTTGAAAAATGAAAATTTGTTTGAAATTTTACACTGTTACACATGTAATTCATATGTGATTTACATGTGAATCACATGTAATTCATATGTCATTCACTTATGATTGTTTTTTTATACCATTTACATCACAAAAATCTTTACCACATAAAACTAAAGATGACAGGTTAGGATCAGCAGCAATAAGTCCATCTTCTACTTCATTTCCAAGACTAATGGCTTCCAGACCACTCAACCTGAAAAAGGTCAAAACATTATCTAGCAAGAGTTAGTACTTAACAGATCTAAGTTCTTCACAATATCACACAAAATTCAGAACCAGATTAGCCAATCATAACAACTAATTAACTAGATCATACCAATAAAAACACATATTTGTCCACTATGAGAACCAGATTAACCAGTACACTATACTTCTATTTGAATCAAATATGCATTAGTATATTTATGATTCACATTAAATTCATCACTGCCAACACATAAATAATAGAGATCCATTTGGAAAAATAGGACCTATTCTTTTTCAAACTCAAAAATAAAGCACCAATAACAGATGTTGAGTTTGTTGAAAACTTGCATTCTTCCAGAGAACGAAGTAGCAATTGATGGTTTGAAACTGTTGTTCCATAAAAGTAGAGTTGATTTAATATACATAAGAGTTTCCATGTGAAAAATTCATAACAGAAGTTCTTTGAAGTGTAACCTTTTCTTTTTCAAACTAAAAAATAAAGCACCAATATTTTCTAGCATTAATATTTCTGTTTAGAACTCACATTATATTGTTCTACACAAAGTTTCAAATATATCGATGACTTTTTGTATAAAAAAATAAGGATCCTTTAAAGGCCATCAAAATGAACTAATTTATATAAAAAATACATCAAAATGGACAGATTTTTTACATGTGAATCTTGAAATTTTGTTTCTAGTGTTACAAAAGATAAGGAAATTGCTGTAAAAGAATATAAGTGATTCATCTGTACATGCATTGTTTCATCATCAAACTGATAGTACTATTACCATATCTAAAACCCACATCACACACATATACACACACTGAGTATGTGACATAAATGAAATATGAAAATATGGTTTTAGTTTTAGGTAGTTACCCGTAAGATTTGAGAATGAGGAAAAGCAAAGGAACTGGAGAGATAGTTGAAGTAGAAGGAGGTGGTCGAATCGTTAGATCACTCAGAAGAAAAGATCATCATAGCAAAGTCTGCACATCAAAGGGTCCGAGAGATCGGCATGTTCGTTTATCAGCCAACACATCGATACAGTTTTATGATGTTCAAGACAGGCTTGGGTATGATCGACCCAGTAAAGCCATTGATTGGATGATGAAGGTGTTGGGTTTTGAGCACTATAACACTTCATTGATGCACTCGAAAATGATCACCATGAGCATGAGTTTCTTATATCTGTTGTCGATACCTCTGAGGCATTTCATCGAACAGGTGGTGAGTGGAACAAGGAGATCTCCACTCTTGCGAAAATCAGTGGTTTTGATGACTACCCAATGGGGGTAATTGATTTAAGAAACAATACCCAGGAAAAATCGATTGAATAAGAAGAATAAGCTATAACCCCGATGGATTTCACATGGAATCCGAGCTACGATTCGAGGGATGGCTTTGCGTTTGTTGATAGGGAACCCCTTCAGTCCAGTTATCCTACACTCATCCATACATTCAACAATGCGTTTGTAGATGATGAAGAGTTTTTGGGATTTAATTTTCAGCAGGAAAATCATCTTCAAGAGGAGGAAAATTGCAACCTTGGAGTAGGAGATGAGGTGGAGATCAATCGTCGTTGGTCGTGTAGGGTATACAGAGAGCTCGTTCGTCCGCCGAAGGTACATAATCAGAAATCGGAAATGCTATTGTGACATGAAAAAGGGTTTCGATCAGTTTATTCCATGGGTTCATTTTCTAGATCCCTAAAATACACCCAATGTCATTTTATTAATGTACCCTCATCCCATTATTTTTCTACTTATTTACAAAAATGCCACAATGCATCTTGGTCGTCCCATATTTTAATATAACGTTCCACTTTTAGTTCTCGGGTTCTCGGGAAACTATGAGTTCTCAAATGATCCTCTCTCTCTCTCTCTCTCTCTCTCTCTCTCTCTCTCTCTCTCTATATATATATATATATATATATATATATATATATATATATATATATATATATATATATATATATATATATATACACACATAGTTACATAACTTGTATACCTTGTTATTACTTGAAATATGTTTATCACGTATATATTGTATGTTGTATAAAAACTATAGCAATTACCCCTTTAATTGTTTACAACTATGTTCCATATACTTGTATTTAGTTGTACACGAAAGTAGATATACATGGCTATCTCCAATGTTAGAATCTATATTAACCGGATTCGATTTACCTATTATTTCCGGAATGCATTACTAATAATAAAAACTATACTGAGATTAATTAATTAAGGTTTCATATTAAACTAGATTATAACCCGCGTTAAACGCGGGAGAAAACATAATAATTAAAAAAATAAAATTTATTTGAAACATATGAAAAAAAAACATAATCTTTTAAATCAAAAGAAATTACTTGTGAAACAAATTCATATGCAAACAATAAAAATTAATTTAAAAAAAGTCTTTAACCCAAAATGTCAGATAATTATGAATGACTTAAAGTTATTCGAGCTTTTTCATTTTTGGGATCTTCAAAGAAGGAGCGACAACACCATCTTTAATGTCCAATGATGAGAACTCTAAAACAAAAAAAACAATAAGCAAAAAGAGCATCATTAATGTTGAAATAAATTGTAAATGTATAAATAAATACATATATTACCTGTTTGATGTTAATTTTGTTTTTTTCCATTTGAGCAATGATTGTATTATCATCCGTCAACTTTAAGATTTTATAACTATCAAGTTTTTTCTTCAAATTATCATTTGAAATTTGAATTTTGAACGCAAACTTTTTATCCAAAAGTACATTCATAGCAGATGGATTAATGTTCATATTACCCTCCTAAAAAAATGAACGGTTATAACAATAGGTAGATAAAAAGTAAAAATTAGTTTTGTGTAAATAAAGATAATATCAATAACCTCATTAAAAATTTCAAGAAAAAGTATCAAAAAATTTAATAACATAGAAATAAAACAAAAGAACTGAAATCGATTAGCATCCATATTTTTCTGCTACATATAAAAAGCAATTAGCATACCCTTTTTATGCAAAAATACATAAAATTTGAAGTAATAACATAAAAATTTGACAATCTAAATAATAAAGTTTGTAGAAACATTACACAATTAATAATAAGAAGAAATCGACATACTTAATTGATTATTAAAATTATCAAAGCTATATAAAATAATATTGCGTGAAAGGATCGAGAACTAAAATCACCAGATTTTTAATAATCATAAATTTATCAGATTAATGCAAAAGAGAGGAATAATAAGATATTTCATTGCATAGACTAAAGTTGATTATTAAAATTATTTGAATAGAAATAAAACAAAAGAATAAAAGACGATTTTAATCAATATTTTTCTGCCACATATTTGAAGCAATTTGAATTACATAAGAATTTAACAATCTAAAAAATAAAGTTTGTAGAAACAATACCTGCTGGTCAATTAAAATCATGTCTAGGCTCACGACCATATTAGGATTGTTTTTATAGGTCTGCTACCAAAGCAAGACGACTTTAACACGTATGTTCCAAGACTCTTTGGGTGCATCGATTTCAACAACCTTATCAAACACAACTTGATCTGCATTGTTAGTTGTCATGGAATACTATCATCTGCAATGAAAGGAGATAATTAGTTAGAGAGAAATTTGATTTGGAATGAAAAATCGTAGACACTATATTTATAGGGAAATATAAATTTGGTTAATGTTGATATGAAACAAAGATTTTGGAATGTAATATCATTTCCATACTTAAAATATGTCTTATGTATGGTATCATATCGAAAATAAGATCAATATAACATGTCAAATATAATTACAAAAATAGATAAAATCATACCTAATTTAAGACAATAGTTACCATATAAAAAAACTGTAAATTTGAAAAGTTTGTAGAATAAGAAAAAAATATAATAAATATATAATAGTTCAATAAATATGAAATATAATTACAAAAATAGATTGCAATGAGTGGCATGCTAATTCAAAATAACGAATAGTGTTCATATTATTTCAAAATATGATTCAAATGATCAATTATTCATTGATGTAAAAAACTTGCTGAAAAATAATACATGTGATATTTTTGCAGATTGTGAATTTGCATACCAACACCTTAACTTATGTTCAGCCACTCCAAAACTAACCATGATAACAAATCTAGATAAGCCAATATATAGGTAAGCCTCCCATGTATCATCCTATCCGGTAAAAAGAGCATGTAGCCTTGTAAAAATTAAGTAAAAAGTTCAATGATTACATAAAAAGATAACAATATTAAAAAGTTCTGATTTCTAAGTAAAAGTTTAGCATCAAAAATATCATACCGGGGTAGACCCTTGCATATCAACCTGAGCTGCAAATAATCCAAATGGTTGAAATGTTCTACGGTTAGGTATTGCTGATTTAACTATGTCCAAAATCATGTTGCACTCCTTTGCATGTAACATCCCAAAATTCAAGGCCAAAAATTTCATTTTTAAATAAGTTATTACATAAAACCATTAGTATAAAAACATTCATAGTAATGTCTCATGTCAAAACCAAAGTGTTAATAATCAAAATATGGTATCATGAACCATATCAGAGTGTAATCCCAAGGATCTCGTGTGCGGAAAACATAGTGTGATGCGCTGCGACCAAGCCTGCTGCTTTCCTTTGAAACAAAGTACCTGAAACCAAAACTGTAAACCGTAAACACGAAGCTTAGTGAGTTCCCCCATCATACCACATACCATACAATCACATGGCATACATACTGTCGGGCAATTCTGGGGTGCCCGACCTACCCAAGTCAAGCCATTCTGGGGTGCTGACGTACCCGTGTCAAGCCTTTCTGGGGTGCTGACATACCCATGTCAAGCCATTCTGGGGTGCTGACGTACTCATGTCAAACCATTCTGGGGTGCTGACCTACCCGTCGGTCATGATGACCGAACTCTGGGGACTATTTCACCCCCTACTACTACCACATAATATCAGGATATAATCATACAGTCAGGCATATCTGGGTTACTGACCTACCCTTCGATCCTAACGACCGAGTCAAGGAAGAACTATTCCCTGCTACTACCACTGAGACACATAACATATCACATAAGCATATCACATAAGCATATCTCATAAGCATATCACATAAGCATATCACATAAGCATATCTCATAAGCATATCACATAAACATATCTCATGAGCATATCACATAAACATACCAAGATAATTATCACAAAGACAATTATCTACCAACTACCCCTGTTGGTGGGTCGGCATTGTGGCCTTAGACCCACCCCTACTGGAAGGTAACTCACCTCGCACTGCTGAAGTCCCGCAAACTCAACCCCAACTGCTGGAGTCCCACAGACTCAACCCCGACTGCTGGATGACAGATTTCGAATCTGTCAACATCATAATAACACCCAATTAATAATTGGGTCCCCGCACATAATCATAAATACATACTCGGATAATTACTACCTTACCCAAAGGTTGGCTCTATTCAAGCCCCAAGGCCCAATCCATAGGCCCATAAGTCCAATTGTGGCTCAAAGCCTAACAGGTGGCCCAATTTTCCAAATTGGGCCCAACCTTCACATGGTCTCAATCTAAGGCCCAACCAAAACTCCAGTCCAAACAATTGGCATCTCAATGGCCCAATGTCTCATAATCATCTAGGCCCAACTATGGCCCAATTTTCCAAATTGGGCCCAACCCTTCATATGGGCCTTACCCTAAAGCCCAACAACATAATCTGGTCCATATGATTATTTTTGGATGGCCCATTTATAATCCAATTACCAAGGCCCAATAGGAAGGCCCAACATAAAGCCCAAATGAAACTAGGGTTTCACATAAAATGACGATTAGGTTTAAGTTTCCTACTTAACCCATTAAGGACTTAATCCTCTAGGGACTTAATCCATTAAGTCCAATATCGCTTAGATTAATTTCCGCCAATGATTATTATTTAATGTGTGACCCGACTAATTCTCAAAATTAGGATTTTATTGGCATTAGCGTTTTCCAAACCCTAATTAGGGTTTCCAACCCAATTACTAGCCCATTTATTAATTTGTTGGGCTTTTAGGTCAATTAGGGCTTTATTGGGCCTATTAAGCCCACTTGAATATTATTAAAACCCATTAGGGTTTTATTGGGTCCATTAGAGTCCATTAAGCTTCATTGGGCCCATTTGAGCTTATAAGGCCCATTAGGGTTTCCAGCACCCCCAAACGAATCCAACTCACAAGGCAAACACACTGCCACCCGACACGGCGGCCGGTGGCGGCATGAGGTGGCAGCCACCACCCTAAGGTGGCGGTTTTTAATTTCTTTTCATTATTTTTCTTTCCGGTTACATTTTACAATGCTAAACCCCAAGTAATCACACACACACACCCACTAAAACAAACACATGAACACCACAACCTAACGGCGGCCGGCGGTGACGCGTGGTGGCGGTGGCTTCTCCCCGAGGATTCCTGCTAAGCAAAACACACACTTCCACAGAAAACACACCTACACATACACGTGCATCGGAAAACTGGGCGCAACCACCCACCTGGTGGTGCGCGGTGACGGCAGCAACAGCCACAGCGGCGGCTTAAAGCGGCAATGGCGGCGTTGCGGCGATAAACCGGAGAAGAGGAAGATTTCGCGACGTCACAGCCACGTTCCAGCTTCTCCCGACATCCTCAGCTTCCTTTCGTCGCTTCACTCTCTTCACCGGCAGTAGATGCAACAGTGGCGGTGCTATGACGGCTCGGAGCAACGCAGCGCTGCTATCCCGGTGCTCCTTCGGCGGTTCGTGACCTCGACAGTGGGGTAGCGAGCGGCAGCAGGCGACGACCGACTCATGGAGAAGGAGGCGGTAACAGACGGAGACGAAGAGGAGAAGAGGTGGGTGATTCCCACCGGAAACAACATCAGCCCTCGATCTTGATGCTTCCGACCATCCGGGCGTTGCATCCTCGACCCCGACTTCGCCAGCGAGAGGAGAGGCCACCGTTCATGCAACGGGATGGAGGCGGCGGCTGAGAACTCCGAATGGGTGGTGGCGCCTGGGAAGTGACGCTAGGGTTAGGGCTACCGGGGGTGACGGGTTTAAATACCCCAGTCCCCACACTTGTTTCCCATAACGACCAAAATAGTCCCTCCTCCCATAATTAATTTCGAGAGTAGTCCAATATTTACCCTTTCTACCCTAGCCTTGGAAATCTTCTTCAAATTAAATCCGATAATTACCATTTAAACCCTTAGCATTAAAATCCTTTACACCCTAGGTACAAAATTTACCAAACAGCCCCCGATTATTTTAATTATGACATAATCAGCCCTTCCACCTCATTTCCTTTTTATATTAACTCCAAATAATTATCATGGAGCCCTTGACTTCATAAATAATTACAAACTGAGTCCGGAACTTACACTTTTAACCCCCGACTTCTAAAATTGTAACAATTAACTCTTCGAGACCATCCTTTTTATACATAATTATTTATTTAGGGCTCCCATTCGTCCATTAATTTAATTATTTAATTAATAAATAAAGAGGGTGTTACATTGCAGCTTCTGATAGATGTTTCATAACTCTGACTTTCTGCATTTCGTCATAAAGAAGAAACTTAGATACTAAAAATGGTAATAACTGGGTTTTAGAAAAGGTTATTTCAGTCATTTATACAATTTGCCATTTGGGGAAAAAATGAGGATTTTGAGAGCTTACTCATTGGGATGTTAATTGTTGCTAATATTGTAGGTTCCCAAGATGTTAGCATACGAATTTTAGGGTTTGGAGTGAAAGCACCTGGATTTTGAATCTCTACTTTGCTGAAATAAATAAATAAATAAATAAATTAAAAAAGAAAAAAACATTTAACAAAAAAACTATAGGAGTATATTCATTTAGGTCAAAGAGTCATACTTCCCGTCTGAATACTCAAAGATATATGGTACAGTTGGAACAGTGCATATAACACTTTCCAAATAAAATTTTATACAAGTTAAAGGGATAGTGTTGTTACTTCTGTTATGCGTCAGTTAAAAAAAAAACGATACTTGGGTTTGTTTATCTTCGTTGAATCTAAGATTTCAAATCTTGATCTCGCCTCTATTTGTATTCATTTCATCTAATATTTCAGCATCACACAATGTCACTTCATCTTCATCGTTCTTGCTATCAACTCCATCAATCTCCTAATTATATATACATGTATCTTCTCATGAATGTAGAAAATAAGAAAAACGATATGCTAAATGAGATACATTATATGAGCACATACCCTAAGATTAAGGCTGGTATGTCGTGATGGACCACCCACGATTTGCTCATACTCGGCTGCATCCAGTTCACTCAAATGATAAGGGTGAAACAGCTTTGGTAAAATGTGTTGTCGTATTGTGATGAGAAGGAAGAATGGAACAGGAAAGAGAATGCCAGTGATAGGTATACATGTCACACCAAAACACATAAGGAAATAGACAATCTGGAAGATCGTGAACATGAAAATGGTTCTATATGGCACAGATTCAACAAAAGAAGCGTGAACCTTTCAAAAACCCTGACAGTTTTTGATGATGGAACATTGATATATGTAATAAGGATGATTTTGAGTGCATGAATGAAATGTTAAATGTTAACTGACTTGTATCTTCGACTATTGGGAACAAAAATAAAGTAAGATTCTTTCCCAAAATTGGTTTCCGGGAAGACTGTCAATGGCCATGTAAGCAAAATAGCCCCATAAAACCGATGTGGGCATCAACCTGTTCCATATAACCAGGATCTTGCTCTCCTGCTTCTTAATGCAGTGTATAGAATTCCAAACGAAAATATAATACCAAGCAAGCCATTAGTGTAAAGCCACTGAAATTGATCTTTGGGTGAATTTGGTTCATCAGATTTGGGAGCTTTGAACTCACTCACCAGTCCCTAGTCAACAAAACCAGAATTAGTCCAAAACAAACTTGAAATATTTTCTCAAATTATCATCATCGGAACCTTTTTTCTACATGGATAAATACCTTGATGGCCTCTTGAATGAAAAGTACAGAAATTAACATCCCAAATGTTTCCCCTGCAATCCTTGTGAATCTACTGATAATAGCACAAGCATTAAAAATCGCCAAAAGAAAGAAGAGTAGGGCTGTGGGCTGTCCATGTACATACCCTACAAAAGTTGTATATACATTAATTGCTATCAACATATAAAAAATTGGAAGATGAAAGAATTTGTGAAAACAGGAGACATGTGGTGAAGGGATTTCTAAAAATATTACCATCCTGCCCAAGCTAAGAATAGTTGTTGACCAAAATCTTGTCTCCCTTTCGCAAAATTATACAAGTATGAATACATAATGATTGTAGGCTCTGCAACTCCAAGTATAAGAAGAGGTTGACCACCAAGAATCGAGTGTAAGATGCCACATATAGCAGTAGAAGCCAAAGTCTCCACTGTGCTCAAGCTTCCATCTAGATATTATATATGTAGAAAACATAGAAAACATGGTTCAGGTTTACATGATACTCTTGTTGATATACAAAAACATAAATGGTGTTTGATTATCACCTGGATAAAATTCGGTCAAGGAGTTCTCCCCTTCACACAGCCTGTTTTAAATATATATTAGCTATGGAAGAATGATAGCTATCATATATGTAAATAAAAGCAAATATACGTACTCCATAACTATGTATATGTTCTGATCATCTTCAAATGCATCATGGAACTGGACCATGTGTTGATGTCCAGATAAGCCCTTTAATAACTTTACCTCAATGTCACGCAGGTTTGAAGCAGACAAAAAGAGCTGCAAGAACTTGATTATTAATTACATCAGTTTGACATGTATGCAGATGCAGGTTATCAGGTATAACAACAATACATTGATAATCATAAGTAACCATTTGATGTTGTAGTCCCTTCTTACTGGTGCTGGAAACCAATGGAGTTTTCAGGAAATCATTAAACTTTCCAGCCAATTGCTACCTTGCCCTATTCATTTGACAATCTACCAGTTTCAGACCTTGAAGGATTCATAAATTTCTTCAATCCCTTCCACCTGATAATGTATAAGAACAAACAATCGTTTCTAAATCAATACAGCAAAATTTTATATAGTTGCAGAAAAAATCAATAGTAAAATCATTACTGAATCACACATAATGGCATTATCAATGATAGTTCACAAGGCATTATAGTTTTAATTTAACATTTATACAATAAAAGAACGCTTCACCAAGAGCGGGAATCTGAGGTTGAGTTTTTCAATACCAATACGATAGGAAGATAAATAATCGAATTGGATTAAAATCAATTAACTGACAGTCTCAAGAGATTTGAGAGTATCATTTAACTGATCGTCTCTTCTGTTAAAGGTTCGGAAATCCATGAGTATTGAATAGTGATCTGAAATAAAAATAAAAATAGGGATTACTTGTTTAAACACCGTCGAGATAGAGAGACCGATGAGGGCAGATGGCCTGATTGCTTGCCTTGTTGGTGTTCTTCACTTCTTCGCACAACATAAGTCATGTGAGAGATTGAAGGCGGATGAGTTTGTGGGGAATGACGATGGAGAAGAGACCAGTTGGTAGTGAGGCAGAGATAAGGTACACTTAGAAAGAGCAGCAGCAGAACCCAAGAACCCTATTATCGTTGCCATAACAATTCTTCGATTTGATGTATGAAATCGATGCAGTGACCCTTTCTGATGTCGATTGAAGGAAGCGATTGGGTTTAGAGCAAAAGGGAGGGAGAAAAGTAAGAAGACGATGGCAATTCTGGCATGATTGAAGTAAAAGGGAATAATTAGGTTACAATTGAGAGAGAGAAAGAGGGTAGATGACGAAGGAAAGGAAAATAAGCGTGTAAAGGTTTACGAGTAATAAGGATGATGTCAGAAAAAGAAAATCCAAGGGTGAGAAATTAAGAATTGAAATGCAATGAAGGGCCTGATTTCTCATTAGAATTTAAGGTTCTTTTTTAATAATGTTTAGAGATTTGATGTAATTCCGTTGTTTTTACAAAACCGACTCATCATTGGAATAGGTTAGCATTCAAAAACATTCACGGTGATCTACTCTCAAAATTTGACCTAATTTGCCAATTCCTACAACATCGATGCTCTATTGTTCGTTTTTTCCGGTGAGTGTTCCGGAAACAAAAGAGAAGGAAATGACGAGGCTGCTGTGTAGCTCTTTTCACATGGCTTATCTGATCATTTGAAAGAAGAGAAGAGACCAAATAAGTAATGTCTTTGTCAAGTGGGTCGAGCGGTTTTTGAACTAAAGGCTTTTGTGCGCTTGTTTTGGTGAGACCTCCGGCGAGTAATATTGTATGAGGAGGCTTATAGCGTGGCACCTTTGTTAGCAAAGGTTTCCGAAATATGCAACATTATAACCGAGAACGTTATAGTGTGACGGGAATGGAGAACTATGATTGAATGAGCATATTAATTAATCAGGGTTGATTGTTTAATTCTTTATCTTGATTCTTCGTTACCATGGCCCAAGATGCAAAGAGAAGGTAGCAGTCAATATACATGGGTTACATATGATTTTAATTTAGCTACTCTCAACTAAGGTGTGATTCCTTAATTCTTTATCTTGATTCATGTTGAGGTATATGTAGGCATTATAGATTAAATATGTAAACACAAATTATAACATATGGTTGCAAGATCATATTTCTCTTACTAAATTAGAGCATGTGGTTCTTAATTAAGGCACTAAAGACATAATTAAAGTATAAATTGCGTAAAAGTTGAAGTATTATAATTTGTTATTCTATTTAAATCCCATTATGAAACAAATATGAAGCTAAGTTTAAACAGGATGTCGTGTGACATTTATTTCCCTTATGAATGTCATATGACGCTTATGAATTGGTAGATTAATTACCACCTAATGGCTAATGGTTAGATTAATAAATATTTGAAAATAATAATATATGCATTACTATAACGATAAAGGTTAGATTATTGATTTATAATCTAAAGTATTAGGACATAGAGCAAATCTAAATGTGTGTACGTTTAGGTCCTTTTGATAATTCATGGAGCTTAAGGGTTGAAGCACACGAGTAATCCAATTACCTTCGTTCAAGACTAATTGTGTACAATATTTATTGGCTTAAGTCCTTTTTTAAGTCTTGAAGTATATGATGATTTTTGGCTAAAATTGCAAATCTGGACAGATTCCTTGACCTGTATTGCAAGGGTTGTAGATGTCATTTTGGTCCAAATTAGACAAAATCACCACAACAAAAACGTTTTAGAAAATCGAGTCTAGTTTATGGAAAGTCCTGAATCATCCAGTTTGGAGTTGTAGATTTTGTTTTATGATCAAAACACTGAACATGGATCATGGCTGGAATTATAAAAAATACAATATAAAATTAAAATATGATAAGCTAAACTTATAGACTTTGAATGCACTTAATAACTTGATGATATACGTGATTAGGTGAGATCTTGACATCTTCAAGGGTGCTCAAAACTTAAAGTTAATAAAGAATTCGTCAAGGATAATGTGAGTTACTAGTTTTACTCACTAAATGACAATAATTTGAAAAGTACATTTCATATACAGATCATTGATTCACTTTATGTCTAAATTAGCTATTGTTTTGTATTTGAATATAATGTGTTAATATGATATGCTTGTTTGCTAGTAGCCATGCTTAGGGTCTAAATTCATATTTGACTCCATTATGATGATTGTGATGTTTATGATATTTGATTGTTAGTTAGCTATGATTTCGTGCCATTGTTGATGATTTGGTGAATATGATGATATTAATTGATTGTGTGTAATTGCATGCTTAATATGGTGATTTATTGAATTTTGTAGGGCGTTGCGTAGTGGGTTGGGTAGTTTATGACACTTGCCTTAAATCTATCTGGATACTTTTGGTGACCTACTAGGTTGAAAGAGGGCCTATAAGAAATAGCATAAGACATTTGGTGTAGGTTGCTCAGATTATCTAGAAAATCCTACGAAACATGGTACACGTATATTTGATGGGTTTGGAGCATTACATCATTTCTATGGTGCACATGCAACCCTAAAGCTTTGGATCTAGGTTTTCTCTAGTTATACATGCAATAAAAATTATCCAAAGCATGAACCCTAAACTAGCATGCTAAATTCGAAATTTATATCTAATACAAAGTTAGAATGTTACCTTTCAATTGTAGTTTGCTTGATCTTTGCCTTTCAAGAGCTTAGTACCTCAAATGCGATACCTCTAATAGATCACAAACACCACAAGCAATGGATGCATATTAGAGATAGAGGGAGAGGCACAAAAATTGGCTTATGATCCTTCTAGGGTTTCAAGTGGCTGATTTCTGGAGTTCCAAGGGGTCCTTATATAGTTGAGTTGTTAGAGTTTCAATCAAAACCCAAATCTGATTGCTTAGGCCTTAAGCAGATCAGTAGATCCTTCCAGAAGATCCCTTTGGACGAATTCTATGTGGGCTACACATAAAAATTCATCCACCTCTTCTTAAAGGTCCACAAGCCCAACTTTCAATTATCATATAATTGCAATATCAGTCCCCTTAATTTAATTAATCTCTTTTTGATAAATAAATTAATTCTAAATTAATTCTTGACCAATATTAATTAAATAATATGATTTCTCAATTAATATATTATTCCTATAATATATTAATAAATCACAGTTAACCTCTTTCTTCATTATTCATCCAGTCAAGTTGCTATGGTGAAGGCAACCCAAAAGAACCATGCTACTATCGGGTACAGTACATACCAATTATAGTTATGGGCTTAGACACCTAATCCAACAATCTCCTACTTGGATAAGTCTAATAACTATAACTGCCAATGCAACTTCAAAATCCGATTAGCAATCGTAGCTCACAAAAGCCGCTGTCGAACTTTGACATGTCCTATAGATAAGAGATCATATAATCCTCTGTTTTTCAAGATATCGTGTGGACAAAGACATGGAATAAAGTCATACTCATTGTCCACCAGTTTGTTTCCTGATTTCTGATTTGTTTGACATAGAACTTAATTGAACACATCAATTCAGTCCTGACCGGGCCCGACACATAAGTCAACACAAAATCATCGAGGGACCCAAGATATCGCTTTTAATCCTCCTAGGATAAAAGAAACAGATAAACTTCGACTTATATGCTTGTTCTAACTACTCGTTAAATCATACACAATAATACATTTTATAACATCAAGTTACTGATGCGTTTTCGGACTATCAATGCACAACCAACTCGCAATCAACAACTCATATATCTTGTTTTTAATACTATATGATATTATCGTCTCACAATCACCCGTGATAAATTCCATGAAGTGATTCATATGAGCGCGGGTTTAATCCAATACTCAAATCTTATTTCAGGAGCACTCATGAAAGTTGTAGCAAGCCTTTGCTATGTCCAAACACCTTTAGACAATTTTACAAGCCAATTCATGAAAGTCTAACCTCATAGCCTACTTCCAAAGTATGATTGATTGTGGATAGTTTGAATAATCTTATTATTCTGGAAGTTAAAACATGCAAAAGGGAAACAATAGCAAACAATTGACACAAGATAGTAACTTTACTCATAAATAAAACTCCTTTATTTAATCATCAAATGTCAATTACATTTTATCTATTACAAGTTTCTAAATATCTATCTAATCACTAAAACTAATATCATCCTTCAGCCCAATACTCCTAGCATGCTGCAAGTGCTTAACCCTACTCAGTCCCTTCGTAAGGGGATCTGATGGGTTCTCTTCTGACGATACCCTCTTCACTACGAGGAGTCCTTCTTCTACCCGATGTCTAATGAAGTGATATTTCCTATCGATGTGCCTGGATCTGCCATGATCCCTCGGTTCGTTGGTTAACGAGACCGCACCCTCATTGTCACAGAAAATCTTCATAGGCTCCTTTATGGCCGGTACAACTACAAGGTCTCTAATGAAGTTATTTAGTCATATCGCCTCCTTTGACGCTTCGCTCGCTGCTATGTACTCTGATTCGCACGTTGAATCAGCCACAGTCTCTTGCTTGGAACTTTTCCAAGTCACTGCTCCTCCATTTAGGGTAAACACCCAGCCCGACTGAGAGCGGAAATTATCTCGGTCGTTCTGAAAACTGGCGTCACTATACCCTCACACTCTTAAGTCATCACTCACACCAAGGATAAGGAACCAGTCCTTAGTCCTTAGTAGGTACTTAAGAATGTTCTTTACCGCAGTCTAGTGAGCTCTACCAGGATTCCCTTGAGATCTGCTGACAATGCTTAAAGTGAAGGCCACATCAGGGCGAGTACATGTCATAGCATACATAATCGAGCCAACTGCGGAAGCATATGGTACTCGACTCATCTCTGCTATGTCGGCATTGGTACTTGGACTCTGAGTCTTACTCAACTTGGTATTGCTCTGGATAGGTAATTCTCCATTCTTGGAATTCTCCATGTTGAAACGTTTCAACACCTTGTCCAAGTAGGTGCTTTGACTAAGTCCTATTAGTCTCTTAATCCTATTTCTCAATATCCTTATCCATAGAATATGGGCAGCTTCTCTGAGGTCCTTCATAGCGAAGCACTTCCCAAGCCAGGACTTAACCTCCTGCAAGGTTGGGATGTCGTCTCCTATGATCAGTATGTCATCCACCTACAATACGAGAAAGCTAACTATACTCCCACTAGCTTTGACATATACGCAACACTCATCCTCGCTTCTTAAAAAACCAAACTCTTTGACTTTTTCATCGAAACAAAGATTCCATCTGCGAGATGCTTGTTTTAATCCATAAATGGATTTCTCAAGCTTACACATTCTATTAGGGTACTTTGC